AAAAAAATTAATCTATGCCCACCACTAATTATATATATATATATATATATATATATATATATATATATATATATATATATATACATGTATGTATATATATATATATATATATATATATATATATATATATATATATATATATATATACATGTATGTATATATATATATATATATATATATATATATATATATATATATATATATATATATAAAGTATTTTTACCAAGTTTCTTACTATATTATGAGTCTTTCTTTTACTGAAAAAATAATATATGATCAGTTGTCCACTTGCTTCCGTTTCCAAAACTCTGTTCTGTTTCCAAAAACATGATAGAATTTTTTTTTCTTTTGGGGGCAAAAATGGTGTGAATAATTCAGGGTTAAAAACTAATTATTGCCAAAGATGGAGCTGTCTGCCGAGACCCTTGAGTGAATGAAGAGTCCTTGTTTCTCTCAGGTTTAATTCCAAGGAGTGCTTTAGAATGATATCCAACCGGGGAAAGAACACCTCACGGAGCGCTGACTGTAAGGTTCCTTCGTCCATCTGGTGTGTAGTCATGCCAATTACGAACTTTTACAAGCTGATAAATCTCAAAGTACGTGACTGGCGTGGTTGAAACGCACATCATTACTTTTCATTTACATTGCAGTACAACATATGTGTGATCCAGGGTCTAAGGCAAAGCGAATTAGAAAGTAGCTCTTTTTGCCCGTTTGACTTGCATTCATTTTTTCATTTTTCCGGAGAATCCACGAGCCGGCCGGAAAGGGAGAAGACTTAGGCTCCCTATAGGAAACCAAGGCTTTATGTAAAATAAGCTACATTTTGTTCAAAATATGTTGAAATGTCACTGAAAATTAAAATGCACACTTACAATACCATTCCCATTAGCGGTTTTCCAACACCATTAATTCCATTATCTGTTTTTCTTCCTTCCTTGATTTTCTGTTGGATTGCATTAAAAGTTCAAAGAACTGAGACGAGCGGTCTTTCCTAGTCTTTTTCCAACCAAGCATTCCTCAACTTTACCCCAATTGATCTCACTCCAAGCGCAAGCAGCCAAAATCGATAGAACACTGTTTCCTAAGGGCTGGAAATGGTGGAAATGGTGAGTTATTCAGACTTCAGGAAAACTCTTTTGTAAAAGTTCTCAAAAACTTTATATATATAAATATGTATGTCTATATTATGTACAATATGATATGCCTATAATATAATCTGGCTTTTAAATCTGTGTGTTAACTGATGTTTTGTATTTTGCAGTATATTTTTTTAATTTGGTTTCCTATATATTCTTTGTTTTGATTTTGGTTTTTAGTTTAGTCTTGTTCAGCGCCTTGGTGACATAATACGTCTGTAAAGTGCTTTTACAAATAAAGGTGATGATGATGATGAAAAATGATTGGGAGAAACATTTTTATTGGCATTATAAGAACTCTTCTAGTTTAACTGGAATCTCAGTAGTACATTCAGTTTGTAGCATGTTTTCCAAAATAAAACAACTTTTTTTTTAGATGCAATCATTTGTTTTTTGTTCTAAGGTGAAATTTCTGGTAGGATGTTACTAGACCTGTTTATGAATCCAACCACACATGAAAAACTTACTGTTCTATAAACCTCTGCTTTCTGTTCAGGATTCCCGTCAGGATTATGAGAATTGACCAACAACGAGCCCTTACAGTTGGTGAATGTTAAGGCTTTTAGACTAAAGGTTGCTGTGTGGGTCTGACTTCCATCTTGGAGATTATTTTAAGCAGCTTTCCTTATGGGTCACATAAAAAAATCGGGGGAGATTTTATGAGTAAGAGCCAAAACATCTGAGGTTTAAAAGAGGATGGAGAGCCAGTAAGATGGAAAAGGAGAAAACTGAAAAATATCTGAGGGATTTAGTCAGATTGAACTGTGCTATTGATGGGAAATGCTCTGAAGACCATTTGAGAGATATTCCTACCTATTTTTTAGAATGTTCCATCACTGGGAACGTATTAACTTTTTGCTTTGTTTATTAATTCATTCATACATACATATTTGAAATCATGTTTGAACGCACAGGACACAAATTAATCATTTTTTTAACTCACATCTCTCTGGATTAATCATTAAAATCTCAATCTGAGCCTAGGGCTTTATTTACAAAACAACATAAAACTTTTTTTTTCTAAGATGTTGGTTGGACATGCAAGTAGGACTCAGACAGATAGAATAATTGTGTTACATGAGGATTGACTTCACACAGCTAATGCTTTGGTTGACTACGTCCAAATTATCCAACACAAAGGATCACAATGTGTGGTACTTATTGTTGGTATTATTCAGTTTTTGTTTGTTTATTTTATAATAGCCTGCTTTTAGCTGGACTTTTGTTTTCATTTTTGTATATCCACATGTAACACTGATAAAAAATTATTGAATTCACATTAAGATTTTAACATTATGATTGAACATTTTAATACATGAATGAAGTGTTTTGATTCAATGTGTAACATTTAAATTAGAAAAAAAAAAAGGATTTGATGCTCAGATTTAAATCTAGACCTAATTTGTAACCCATAGATTGACGATTCAGATGTAGACTTAAACATTATGATTAAACATGAAATATTAGATTGAAATATTAATACTCTGATTAAACACTCCCACTAATATCGTCGTCTTCCTCCGCTTATCCGGGTCCGGGTCGCGGGGGCAGCATCCCAACTAGGGAGCTCCAGACCGTCCTCTCCCCGGCCACCTCTACCAGCTCTTCCGGCAGGACCCCAAGGCGTTCCCGGACCAGATTGGAGATGTAACCTCTCCAACGTGTCCTGGGTCGACCCGGGGACCTCCTGCCGGCAGGACATGCCCGAAACACCTCCCCAGGGAGACGTCCAGGAGGCATCCTGACCAGATGCCCAAACCACCTCAACTGACTCTTTTCGATCCGGAGGAGCAGCAGTTCTACTCCGAGTCCCTCCCGAATGTCCGAGCTCCTCACCCTATCTCTGAGGCTGAGCCCGGCCACCCTACGGAGGAACTCATTTCGGCCGCTTGTATCTGCGATCTCGTTCTTTCGGTCATTTCCCAAAGCTCATGACCATAGGTGAGGATTGGGACGTAGTTCGACCGGTAAATCAAGAGCCTGGCTTTCTGGCTCAGCTCCCTCTTCACCACGACAGATCGGTTCAGCGTCTGCAGTGATGCAGACGGTGAACCAATCAGTCTGTCGCCATTTAGAGTAAAAATTTAGATTTAACGTATAAAATTTTTATTTTCACGTACAGATTGAACAGTAACATTTACAATTACTGTCACATTAACATGTGATATTTAGAATTAACGTTTATATTAAATGATTAACATTTAAATCTAAGAATAACATGTTTTAATAAGTAACAATCATTTACTATGTAAATTTTCAGAGACTGAATAAACACGAAAATTTAGATTAAAATTTTCTGGTAAAACCTGAAACATCTAAATTGAAACGTAAGATTTAACTTGTAATATTCAAGAAGAAAATTTAGATTTAAAGCTGAAATTCGGAGGTTTCCCCTTTCAGGAATTATACATGATTTTTCAGAAATCCATAAAAGAGACTGTTTTATCATGCACTGTGATTTATTGTAGGCAAGGCGGGGTTTATTATTCCTTTTTTAGTTTTTTTTTTTGCTAAACCCACCCCCGTCCCATAGATCTCCATGCAATATGAACTGAGTGCTGGTGAGCACTAGACAATAGTGTTAGACTCCCGCTTATGCATAGACGTCAATCACAAAGCGTACTCGAGTGTTTGAGGATGTACCTCATCAATGCAGAGTTGGTGACCTTTTTAATGGACAAGTAAGTCTTAAATCAGGGGCGTTGCTTTCGGCCGTAAATACGGAAGTGACAAAACATGTTGGTGTGATACGCTGGTCAGCCACTAGATGGTGCATTCAGATAAAAGAAATTATCAGGACAGCTACTTTAACTTGCAACATTTAGATTAATATATTAGATTTAACTTGTAATTTTTAGATCAAAACTTTAGAATTAACTTGCAACATTTAAATAAAAATATAGATTTTACACGCAACATTTAGCTTTCCACATACACACTGAACATGATATAACATTTAGATTTCAAATTCAATTCAATTCAAAAATACTTTATTAATCCCAGAGGGAAATTGATTGCTGTAGTAGCTCATAATAATAATAATAATCAAGTCGTCAAAGAGTTGTTGTATATTACAATGGCTGTTGGCAGGAAGGATCTCCAGTAGCGGTCACTGTTGCAGCGAAACTGAAGAAGCCTCTGACTGAAGACACTTTATTATGTAATGTATGTTTATCGTGTAACATTGCCATAGTTTAGACTCAAAACTTGACAATCAGTGACTGTAAGAATATAGTGATTTGACGACAGCTTGCAAAAAGCTCCAGAGTTGTTCACAGTGGTTGCAGTAACCACATTTTACCACAGGATGTCATCTTTACTTTGTTTCTACATAGTGCATCTTTAACCACAAGAAACGATGAGATTTAAAGCGCAATACTTAGATTCAAACATTTAAGATATGTTTGATAACAACTAATTGAAGCCAAGAACAGGCATGATTACTCAAATTAATGTTAATGTAATTTAATCAAGAGCACAATTGAAATATTTAACAAATCCCATCAGATCAAGAGAAATTTTTTGTACTGAGGGTTTTTCCAATCTTTTTTTTTTTTACGTTTCATGAATAACCCGCAGATATGTGTGAACTGGACATGAAACCTTCGACACAGCATTAATCTGAAGTCAGCACACTCAGACGCACACAACCAGTTTAGACTCCACCTCTCGGCAGTCCAGTGATTGGTCTGCTTAAAGGCAGGGCAGCTTGCTGGCAGATTTAAATAAAGTGAAACAGAAAAGAAGGAATGAACATGGATGGGGGAGGAGGGCTGGAGGGTGTAGTGAGGGGGCGGTGCACTAGTTTGTCCTGTCTCTCTCTCTCTCTCTCTCTCTCTCTCTCTCTCTCTCTCTCTCTCTCTCTCTACTGGGTCAGGATAGGAAGGCTTACCCAGGCAGAGGAGGAAACGTGTCAGGAGAGGTGATGACACAGCCTCGTAGACGTATTCACATCCTCACAGACTTCTGAGATTGTCACTCGCTGCCGCTTGAGCCGCCGCTCCTGCATCCTGCTGGAGGGAGAGGGCTAAAGATAGCTGCCAGCCTCCCTCCACACCTCTCCCTCTTCCTCTCTTTCTCACTTTGTTGGCGGACGATGGGATTTTAATCATGTGGAAGGTAAGAAAGAAGAACGTAGAAGCAAAGGACACAGTCTGAGTGCCTAGGTAGAATGAGGTCAGGTTGGATGAGTCTCAGTGGGAGTTTGTGCTCCTTTACTCAAGTTTTGGAGTCCTTGGGGAACTCCTGCGTGCCTTTAAGCTCCCATCTCCAGTTTTACTGGAATGATAATAACAGAGCAGTGGCTTTGCAAGTCAGCCAAAGAACCGTGGAGCCATCTGTCGTGGTTGGGGAAAAAACTTTTGTAAAGCAGTTGCAGAACACACACATGAGAGGAGCGCCATGTCGTTTAAATAACTTCTTTCCAGGTTAGGAAAATTAAGAAAAAAATCCTCAAATATTTTTGGTCCAAACTCCTTGAAATTTCATTTAGAGAGTGCAGAAAATTGTGTGTGGTTGGGTGGAGTTAAGAGTTTGGTTTTCTGACCCAATTTCAAGGCGCCGCTGTGTGTTTTGGTCGTGGCGTGAAGCCCAAGACACAGAGACAGAAAGCTGTGTCTCAAGGGTCACTGGCTAAATGTGTACTTGAGTGCTATTTAATTATTACTATTATTATTATTATTATTATTTTTATGAAATGCTTTAAAAGGTGCCGTTTCCTCAGCTACATGTGATAACTGCATATTCCTATGTTACTGGTCATTATGAGTGCTATTAGCCTCTCGAGGAGCTCGGATGCTTTGTACGCATCGGTGCACGCTTGTGTGAATGGGGATGCGTCTTGTGTTTGGTCAAGTGTGTGTGTGTGAGTGTGTGTGTGTCACAGCTGCCTAACACAAGCTTGGTGCTGCCACTGATCATTCTCACCTGCTTGGTAGAAGACAGGCCAAGGAAATCCTGGTTGACTGGAAGAGTCAATCACCTCAACTTTAATGCCGGTTCAAAAGTTTTGATAAAAAAGTTCCTTTTTTGATTTTCTGATATTTGGTTTGATGACTAAAAAAGAAGGAGGAGCAAGAAGGCTTTGTGAGAAGTTTTGTTTGCAGTTGTCATGATGTTGCCCGATATAGTAACAGCCGTATTGTTTCTCTTCCTGTTTCCCTTGACATGTCTGAGTGAGACACTGTCAGCCTGGGCGAGCTGCTCTCAGATCTGTCCACCCCTCCTTCCTCCTACCTGATATTAGCCGTGGGAACGGGTATAAATAGCAACAACACCACCTTCAGTTATTTTTGTCCTCCAAACATTTTCATCTGCTTCTGCCATTTGCGTAAATGTAGCTGGAAGCAAATCTCCACATCTACTTGATCCCTTTTGCGCTGATTATGAGGAAAACTTTCGCCGATAGCATTTGTCGCCAGCCTCTAAACATACCATGTTATGTTTGGTAATACGTCGCTAAACAGTTAGGTATGACTCATGGGATGCTTATCTCTCCATAACTGGTTCATTTGATCTTCAAAGTGTTAGCAAATACCCGTTGCAGGCACTTGAGGGCAAAACCGCTAATTACTGTCTAAACATCCTTGGGAAAAAAAAAAGACAAAAACATGCCAGAATACTCTTTTTCCCTCTCACATTTCCCCATACATCAGTTCGTTTTATCCACACCAGTGCATTCTGTAATCACCAACCAAGTTAAATGAGTTTAATGTTGTCATGGAAACTTTCAGAAGTGTGACAATGGGTCCATTTAGTTCAGTGGGGCTTGGCAGCTTGTGCAGTCCTGTGGAGAGGATCAGAAGGCCCTCCAACTTTTTATGTCACAGTTGTCAGAAGCTTTTATGCTCGGTGGCGGGGCGATGGAACTCAAAAAGTCAGCAATTTCAACAAAATATGATGCACATCTTGTCAGAATTAAAGTAAAAAATCATCACTGAGCTTATTTTTGCCTTAATATTTTTAAAATTCTCTTTTCTTGAAAAATAAGAAAATTACAAAACTCAGAAACCATTCAAGTAGAAAACTGCTAAAAATTAATCAGCCGCAGCAATGATGAAAGATGCTCAGTCAATATTTTGTTGTTTGAAAAAAGAACCAAAAACATTCATGGTTATTATTTCAAACAATACTTCCTGTGATAAATTTGATCATGAGGTATCTGGCAAATTTAGCAAAATATCTAAAATTTTTTTATATTTATTACATTAATTTTATAAAATCATTGCATTTAAACAAGTTACTGGCTTAATTACTTTTCCAACATAACAAACAAGTGCCAGATTCCTCTCCCAAACGGCCTTTATTTAACTGCTGCACTCATTGTAATCTGTCTTTGAGCTAATTTAGCTAAGTTTCACTTTTTAAACAGGCAAAAATAATGAGCTAATGTATCATGCATACAAAGTAGAAAGCATGCCTCATGAATATTGCAGAATATAATTAGTAGCAAAGTAGCAAATATTCAAAAAATCGACAAAAGTGGCTCTTTTGCAAGGCACAGGTATATTTCCTGACAATTTTAGAATTGTCTTAATTGTTGTTGAATGAAAGGCTCCTCTGTATGCTTTTTTCCCTCAGATGAGAAGCACATGCCTATGAGTTCTTGTATTTTAAAGTGTCCATTCAAGAGTCTTCAAAAAACATGAAGGCAATAATAATATCATGGAGGATTATTGTTACTTAAGATTCTTATTTAGAGGTCAAAACTTATTTTTCAGCCCTGCATGAAAAATAGAAAGTATGCAACATAATTGGGATAGTCCACAAAAGTTAGGATGATTTTTCTGCACAACATAGGAACATTTTCAACTGCATAGGATATTCTTTAACCTAATCTAAAAGTATCATTGTAAGGAAACAAGAACAAACCCGAAACTGCAGGTTTCAGCTTTTGCTTAAAGGAAGGATAAAAGCTTTCAAAAAGACCTGCCCTCAAAGCCGTGACCAAAGGTTTAGAGAATGGCAGAAAGATAATGGCACTAAAGTTTCCTGCCTCACTGCGTCATTCTCAAAACTTAAGTTTATGTGGGCAAGACTTTTATAAAACTGAATGGCAGTTGACTAGATGATGAGCATAGCAAAGATGAAACCGCCGACCAATGAGATATGCTAATGCAACGCACCTTTCAGTGGAGGCCATCACTGTTCCTAAACCTAGTATTGGTTTACGAACACTAATAACTTTGTACTGGTGAGTAAAGGTTTTGATTTTTTACCAAAAAAAAAAAGTCATGTGTAAAATCAAAATAGGTATGAAGTCCTTAAGTTGGAGATTTTTATAAACCTACAGAACAAGCTGATTGCAATTCTGGTTCAACTCGTTTCACAGCCGGATGGAAACCGAAGTTTTCCACCTGGTTTTTTCCGGCCACATTACATCCACAAAGCCGATGGGTCCCCACTACCCGGTCGTTTTTTAATGATGCGTTGGCCAGTTCTTAACCCAATTTTAGTAACTTCTGCAATCTTCTCAGAAGTTTTCTCTTTTTGGTGCGTGTCAATGATCTGACCCTTCTCAAACAGACTAACATCTTTTCCACCAGATGTGTCTTTCCACATGGTTGATTAAGAAATGAGAAGCAACTTATTGGACCAGTTGGGGTTAAATAACTTGTTACCATCTGAAAGATAATCGCCCATGCATTAATTGTCCAATAGAAGTCTCATACCTTTTTGCTTAGTTAAATCCAGGTGGCAACTTTTGTTTTGGACAGGAGGTATCTGCTGCAGTGAAGTGAAGTTTCATCTGATGAAAGTTCTGAAAAGTCAGTCTGCTGGACATAATGATCACCTCGGGAAGTGAAGCCATATTTGCTAAAATATCAACCATTTTTGCAGCAGAAAGTATCACTAGGATTTGATGCCCCACAAAAATAAACTCATCACAAAGAAACATTACTATCTGACTCTGGAGAGCTCTGAACCATTCACATCAAATGCGAGAATCTCGCGTGCTACGATGCAGCTGCCAAAAGCTTCAGCTCCAACCCTCTCCTGGGCTCCTCTCATACATGCACACGCCACACACGCTACAGGCAGCTCGCTGGGACTGCTTATGTGTCAAAAACATTTCATTATCCAATCAAAGTTGGAATGATAGCTTAGCGTTTCTGGAAATGAGTACATTTTGGTCACTTTCATCAAAGAACTGTTAAATAATTGCCATATTGAAGGAGAGCATTAGTCATATCCTAAAAGTCTATCATTCCAGACCAGTGCTGAGGTTTGGATCATTTCTTTTTTAGATGCTGCCTATCTAACAGTAAACAAAAAGCAAAGACCAAATAACAGAGTAGGAATGTGCTGCATGAAAGTGGCAATATCCAAAAGTGAGTTTTGTCAAGAATTCCTTTTTAGCAGAACTGTGGCAGCCCTGAATTTGTTTTTAAAGCTTTGAATGACCAAGAAAAATGGTTGATCCAATGGGGGGGAGCAAAAGTCCTTGGAACTTTTCCATACGGCTAGATTTTAACATTCTGTACAAAATTAGAACATATTAACTAACACATTGCATACTTAAAAAAAAAGAATTACTTCAACTGTGAGAGACAAAATGTGAAAAAAATCCATGAATTCACATGGCAGGATTTTTAAAGAATTTATTTGTAAATCAGGGTGGAAAATAAGTATTTGGTCAATAACAAAAATTCAACTCAATACTTTGTAACATAACCTTTGTTGGCAATAACAGAGGTCAAACGATTACTCCAGGTCTTTACCAGGTTTGCACACACAGTAGCTGGTATTTTGGCCCATTCCTCCATGCAGATCTTCTCGAGAGCAGTGATGTTTTGGGGATGTCGCCGAGCGACACGGACTTTCAACTCCCTCCACAGATTTTCTATGGGGTTGAGGTCTGGAGACTGGCTAGGCCACTCCAGGACTTTCAAATGCTTCTTACGGAGCCACTCCTTTGTTGCCCGGGCGGTATGTTTGGGATCATTGTCGTGTTGGAAGACCCAGCCACGTTTCATCTTCAAAGCTCTCACTGATGGAAGGAGGTTTTGGCTCAGAATCTCATGATACATGGCCCCATTCATTCTTTCCTTAACACGGATCAGTCGTCCTGTCCCCTTAGCGGAAAAACAGCCCCAAAGCATGATGTTCCCACCCCCATG